GATCAAAATTGTGGACAAAACAGGTAGACCCAAAAACCTTCAGAGGTAAAGGATGGAGAGTGTCATGAGGAAATAAAATAGAATGGGGAATTTTGTTATCTAAAACCGAAGAGGGCATACGATTAATAAGATAACAGGCAGTAAGAACAGCATCACCCCAAAAATGTTGAGGAACCGCACCATGAATTAAAAGAGTACGGGTTGTTTCAATAAGGTGTCTATTCTTGCGCTCAGCCACCCCATTTTGTTGAGGGGTATAAGCACAGGAAGTTTGATGAAGAATGCCATGAGAAGCCATAAATTGTTTAAATGAGTTTGAAAGATATTCACGGCCATTATCACTTCGAAAAATTTGAATAGAGACACCAAATTGATTTTTAATTTCATGATAAAAGTTTTGGAATATAGAAAACACCTCAGAACGATTTTTCATTAAAAATAACCAAGTACAACGAGAGAAATTATCAATGAAAGTAACAAAATATTGAAAACCTAAATTAGACTTAACACGACTGGGTCCCCAAATGTCAGAGTGAACTAAGGCAAAGGGGGATGAAGCACGCTGGGAAACACTACGAGAAAAGGAAGTACGACTATGTTTGCCTAATTGACAGGACTCACACACCAAACTGGACAACTGGGATAAGCTGGGAACAAGTTGCTGTAATTTGCGCAGACTGGGTGACCAAGCTGAGCATGAAGGAGAGAAGGAGACTCCATAACTGTGCCAACATGTGGAGAAGGTTGAAGATAATAAAGTCCATGTGACTCACATCCGGTGCCAATCACTTTTTGCGAGCTCCGATCCCGTAAGGAAACAGAAGTTTTGGTAAAAGAGATAACACAATCAAGAGATCGAGTTAGACGGCTAATGGATAATAAGTTAAAGGGGGACCCGGGTACATACAAAACATTATCAATGGACAACGAGGGAAAAAGAGTAACCGTTCCAACACCATGAGCTAAAGTTGTAGACCCATTAGCCATTGTAACAGAGGGTAAATTATGAGAAGTGAAAGAGGAAAATAAGGATTTGTTACCGGTGATGTGATCGGTGGCGCCGAGTCAAGAACCCAAGAGCCAATAGAAGAAGAGTGAGTCGGACCGAGCAAAAGATGTACCTGTGTGGGCAACGAAGTAGTGGAGCTGGAGGGCTTTCGATCCTCATACCATTGAAGAAAATCATTGAAGATAGCAGATTTGTCCGAAGGTACGGACGAAGGAGGATCCACGGCAGAGGATTGTGCGGAAGAATCGGTCCGAGCAAGCTGCAGCGAGATCGGCGAGGATAACCATGTAAAGCATAACATTTGTCAATTTTGTGGCCTAGTTTGCCACAATGGTCACACTTGACACGCCCTTTGCCTGGCTTGTGAGAGCGATTACGATCATCACGGTGAGAGGCCAAGGCGGATGAATCATTAAAAACAGATTGCTCAGACCCACCGGAGCCGACGGAGGTAACTTCGAATTGGAAGTGGCGGCGGAAGATGCCATGGAGGAAGAGAGAGAAAAACCCTAAAACACCAAAGAGGTCCGATTGGAGCGGCGAGGACGAGATCCGAGAGAGAGGAGAAGGAGGCGACGCGGCGCAAAGAGCGGCGGCCTTAACGGCGGCGAGACGCGCGCCACGCGCGGCGGAACGGGAGAAGGTGGCGCGGCTTCGGGAGGCGCGTGAGGGAGCGTGGGCGCTCCGATGACCACGAAACTTCCACGGTGGAGGTCGCACGGAGGAGGCGAGCAAAACCCTATGCTCGGCGGTCCGAGCTGCTACTCCGGCGACAGCGGCGGCGAGCGGACGGTGGCGACAGCGGCAGCGGCGAGCTGCGGCGATGGAGGCGCGACAGTTGCAGGTTCGATGGCGAGCCGAAAAAATCCCAAGAGACCTTAAGCTCTTGATACCATGTTGAATATAGGGAAAAGCTGTATAGGGTTAATTTCCCTTGTGTATTTACCACACATAGGGCAGTGTATTTATAATAAAGAAAGGTACTCCTCAAAAGAGTAACAGAATACAAATAGGGTAAATAAAAGATATTATTTGATATTGTGATTAACAATATCTAACAATATCTCAATAATATCAAATAATATCAACTAATATCTAATCATATCTAACAGTTAGGAACCCCGTTACTGCCTTCACACAATAAATCTGAAATTCTTGACTCACTTAGCACCTCAATATTATTTCACTACCCTTCTAAAAGTACAAAAGTAAAAGGGTAAACAAAATTATCCCCAAAAGAAGCACTCTCATTTTCACACTAGCAATACACAACAAAATTTTTTTCTATCTGTCTAAAAGTGCCCTTCTACATACAACAGAGGACCTATTTATTTTGTCCTCATAGACTAACAGAAATAACAACCTACAAGGAACACCTACTAATTTCTAGGAACACCTACTACGGTTTTAGGTTCAAGATAGTGTGATGTTCTCCCATATGTTTCTCCCTTCAAAATTACTCAACAAGTAGTATTAGAGTTGTTAGATATTATTTAGATATTGTTTGATATTGTTAAGATATTATTAAATATTGTTAATCACAATATCAAACAATATCTTCTATTTACTCTATTTATTTTTAGTTACTCTTTTTAGTTGTACCTCTCTCTATTATAAATAAATTATCCTATGTGTGGTTTATACGCAAGGAAGATTAATCTCAAACCCTATTTTCTCTATATTCAACATGGTATCTAGAGCTTAAGATTATTTTGAAATTTATTTTTTGCCTTTGTCCGCTGCCCCTGCCACCGCTGCTGCCGGGAGCCGCTGCCGGAGACTTCGCCAGAGCCGTCGCTGAAACAGTCAATAGAGAAGTCGTTGGAGCCGTTCCGCGGAGCCATCGCAGGGGTTTCATTTTTTACCGATAAAATACGGTTTTGCTCGTCTCAGTCATGTGACCACCGTGTCGTTGAGATCAACAATATCGGAGTTGGTCGTCCGTTGTCTCCTGCGTTGTTTAGTCTCGACGGACTTGTTTTGGTCTTCTCGTTTTGGATCTATTCTTTGTTGGGTGATTGGATTACTTTGGATTTTTTTAATGTTTGTTCTCCCACCCTTGACTTCTTCCATTCCTTCTACTACTTCCACTTTTGTTAATGATTCTTCTGCGTTGGCATCTCACCGTGATGACCGAACTCGTCCTCGCAAACAGAGAAAGTGACGTCCTAAGTGTGAACATTGTGGCAAGCTAGGTCACAAGATTAACAAGTGTTATGCATTACATGGTCGTCCTCCTCGATCTGTTGCAGTTATTCAGACCGATCTTTCCCCACCTTTGTCTGCTGGGGATCTTCCTTCTTCTATTGCATCCAACACACCTGCTATGTTCAACAAATTTCTCAAATGGTATAAAGATCAACAGTCTCCTAGTTCCACTACGTATGTCGCACACACAAGTACATATTTTGTTAGTCGGACCAAATTCTCTTCTTCTAGTCCTTGGGTTTTTTATTCAGGAGCCACTAATCATATTATTGGTAACAAATATTTGTTCTCCTCTTTATCATCTCCTAATCCTTCTGTTACAGTTGTTGATGGCTCTAGAGTATCATCTCATGGTCTTAGAACTGTTAAACTTTTCCCTTTTTTAACCATTGATGATGTTCTTTATGTCTTTGGGTCTCCTTTTAACCTGTTGTCCATCAGTCGTCTAACTTGTTATCTTGATTGTGTTGTTTCTTTTACCAACAATTTTGTGTGTTTATAGGACCGGAGTTCGAAATAAGTGATTGGCACAAGATGTGAATCTCATGGTCTTTATTATCTCCGTCCCTCTACACATGTTGGTGCAGTTATGGAGTCTCCATCTCTTCTTCATGCTCAGTTAGGTCATCCAAGTCTTGCCAAGTTATAAAAGCTTGTCCCTACATTGTCCAACTTGTCTAGTTTGGCGTGTGAGTTGTGTCAATTACGTAAGCATAGTCATACTTCCTTTCATCGACGTGGTGCTTCATTCCCTTTTGTCATGGTTCACTCTGGACATTTGGGGACCTAACCGTGTTAAGTCTACTTTAAGTTTTCAATACTTTATTACTTTCATTGATGATTATTCCAGATGCACTTGGTTATTTTTTATGAAAAATCATTTTGAATTATTTCATATCTTTTAAACTTTTTTTAATAAAATTCAAACTCAGTTCGGTGTTTCTATTAGAGTTTTGTGCAGTGATAATGGCCGTGAATATCTTTCCCATTCTTTTAAACAATTCATGGCTTCTCACGGTATTCTGCATCAAACTTTTTGTGCTTATACACCTCAACAAAATGGTGTAGCTGAACGTAAAAATAGACATCTTATTGTAACAACTAGTACTCTTTTAATTCATGGAGAGGTTCTTCAACATTTTTAGGGTGATGCTCTTTTTACTGCATGTTATCTCGTTAATCACATGCCTTCTTTAGTTTTAGATAATAAAATACCTCATTCCACTTTATTTCCTCATGAACCTCTTCATCCATTACCTAAGAGTTTTCGGGTCTACATGTTTTGTTCATAATTTAAGTCTTGGTCTTGACAAGCTTTCCTCTAGATCACATAAATGTATTTTCTTAGGCTTTACAACATCACAAAAAGGATACAAATGTTTTTCTCCTTCTCTTAACCGTTATTTTGTGTCTGCAGATATCACCTTTGATGAGTTTTTTCTTTATTTTAAAAGTCAATCTTCACCTCTGTCTCCATCCAATCCTGTCAACACTCCAAGTACATTTAATGTTCTTATTGTTTATTACCCTCTAACTATATCTTCTTCACCATTAGTTCCTGCTCCGCAATCAGCTTCTTCTCCACCACCTCTTCAGGTTTATAGTCGCCGAAATCGATCACAACCACCATCATGTAACTCCACTCAAGTGTCAACTACTCTGTCTCCTCCAGATCTGACACCTGACTCTGACCTTCCCATTGCCTTTCGAAATAATATCCGTTCTACACGTAATCTCTCTCCTCATTATATTGCTTTCAGTTATCATCGATTGTCATTACTTTTTATACATGTCTTTCTTCTATTTCTTCTGTGATCATTCCAAAAACTGTCCGTGAAGCTTTAGCCTATCCTGGTTGACATCAAATCATGATAGATGAACTACGTGTTCTTCATAATAGTGGAACTTGGGAATTGGTCTCATTACCGTCTGGAAAATCTGTTGTTGGTTGTAGGTGGGTGTTTGCTATCAAAGTTGGACCTGATGGTACTATTGATCACCTCAAAGCTCGTCTTGTGGCCAAAGGTTATACTCAAATTTTTGGGTTGGATTAGGGAGATACCTTTTTCTCTGTGGCAAAGATGGTTTCTGTTCGTTTATTTATCACCAAGGTTGCTCTTCAACAATGGCATCTTTATCAACTCGATGTTAAAAATGTTTTTCTCAATGGTGATTTGCAAGAAGAAATTTATATGAAGCAACCTCCTGGGTTTGTTGCTCAGGGGGAGTCTTCTAGGATGGTATGTCGTCTCCGCAAATCCCTATATGGTCTAAAACAGTCTCCTAGAGCCTGGTTTGGAAAGTTTAGCAAGGTTGTTCAACAATTTGGTATGACTTGGTGCGAAGTAAATCATTCTGTCTTTTATTGACACTTGAGTGTTGGATGTGTTTACTTGATAGTATATGTTGATGACATCGTTCTTACAGGTAGTGACAACCATGGCGTCTCTCAATTGAAACATCTCTATCACCATTTTCAGACCAAAGATCTTGGCAAACTTAGATATTTCTTGGGTATTGAGGTGGTACAGTCCAATGATGGTATTGTTATATCTCAAAAAAAGTATGTCATGGATATTTTAGAGGAAACTGGGTTAAAAAGTTCAAAGTCTGTTGATACATCCATGGATCCCAATACTAAACTTCTACCAAATTAGGGGAGCCTATATCTGATCCTGAGCAGTATAGAAGATTTGTTGGGAAATTGAATTATCTTACAGTTACTCATCCTGACATTTTCTTTGTAGTCAGTGTGGTAAGCCAATTTCTTAATTCTCCATGTGAAGATCATTGAAATACCGTCTTTCGTATCTTGAAGTATATTAAAGGATCTCCTGGAAAAGGATTGTTATATGGTTCTAATAACCATACAAGAGTTGTTTGCTACTCAGATGCTGATTGGGCAGGATCTCCTTTAGATAGAAGATCTACATCTGGATATTGTGTTTCTATTGGTGGTAACTTGATCTCATGGAAAAGTAAGAAAGAGTATTGTGGCAAGATCCAGTGTAGAAGCAGAATATAAAGTTATGACCTCAACTGCCTGTGAACTTGTTTGGCTCAAGAAATTGCTTAGAGAGTTATAATTTGGAGATGTCACTCAAATGACACTTGTGTGTGACAATCAGGCTACTCTTCATATTAGCTCTAATCCTGTCTTTCATGAGAGGACCAAACACATTGAGATTGACTGTCATTTCATTCGAGAAAAGATTATGTCTGGAGACATCAAGACTGAGTTTGTTAACTCAAATGATCAGTTAGCAGATATTTTAAATAAGTCTTTACGGGGCCCTAGAATTGATTATATTTGTAACAAGCTTAGCACATATGATTTGTATGCTCCAGCTTGAGGGGGAGTGTCAGATATTGTTTAGATATTGTTTGATATTGTTAAGATATTGTTAGATATTGTTAACCACAATATCAAACAATATATTCTATTTACTCTATTTATTTTCAGTTACTCTTTGTAGTTGTACATTTCTCTATTATAAATAGATTATCCTATGTGTGGTTTATACACAAGGGAGATTAATCTCAAACTCTATATTCTCTATATTCAACAAGAGTCTATCCTAAGAATGTTTGTTGAGCCTATTGTACCACCCATTATCAATAAACTATTGTCCATATCATCAATGTGAGGAAACATGTTGAAAATTCCTCATGGACTATCGATATGACAAAATCATAAGATTCAATATCTAGTGCAATTTTCATGGACTAAAAGCATACATTACCTTGTTGATGTTCTGTATATAGGCAACACAATTACCTTATCCACTAACAAGCTTTGGGACATTGTACATAAATTAAAAACAAGGTATTACCTTGCACTTCAGCTCACTCAAGATCAAGTAAAATTTTCATGGACTATTTCTAAGAAGCACACATTACCTCAACAAGTGCAGCTAAGCTTACACCACATTCAACCCAACAAAAGATAACTGATCCCAAAAGCTCTTCTAGGTACTGCATAAAAGAAATTTGAAGTCAAAGAAAACCATTATTCACAAGGTTATTAATCTTTCAAAGCTTAATAAAATAATTTATGGAACAACCAATATCACAACTAGAATGTGGATATGTAGTCTATAATGCGATGCTTTTTGCATACATAGTTTTTTCATTAAAAAAAATTTAAAAAATTAGAATGCACCCATAGGTTGAAGAAAAAATTACAGTGATAGAAACTGATTCACATTATAGATGTCTCTATTTGGCGACCAGGATATGATAGGATAACTATACTATATTATGTAATTTTTTGTTTGTTGCATCAACATGATAAGATAATGTTATCTTGTCATGTATTCTATCTCGTAGGTAGGTTAGACTCAATGATAGTATAAACTCTCTCTCTCTCACTCTCCCTCCCCCTCTCCCTCTCCCTCTCCCTCTCCATTTTGGAGCATATACATTGTCCCCAGTGATATTCTTATCTAAATATTCTTTCCATGAAAAATAATAACAAAATTTATGTCTAACAATAAAGTGTCTTTTGTACAAAAAAAGGAGAGAAATTTAAGCCTTTATATCTAAAGAATATGTTAATATTAACAAGCTGCAGAGATAGAGTCATAGCATAACACTGATTACCTTCATTCTAGTCATATACTGAAGCTCTCTAGAAAGATTGTCAAGAACCGCACAGACTAGTTCCCTACAAAAAACTGGACAATATAAGAAGCTATATTGAATGTTTTAAAATGATGATGAAAAATATTTTTACCTATGATAAGGATCAATGGCCGCAACCACACATATCATGAAAACAGCCTGGATAATAGGGTTATCAAACACTCAAAGGGCTCATAATTCAAATAATATATATCCAAATATAGCTGAAGAAAAGGACATAAAAACCAATTTCATAATCAATAGGTTACCTCTAACTCAATTTCCTCACTGTGTAAAGCAAGATGCATGAGAGTAATCACAACTGTTTCCATTATAGGTTGAGGCTGAGAACCAGCAGCTAGCACCTGCTTTGCATTGATGACTTTTCCTTTGCAGTAGACAACCATCTGAACACCAAAATTCAAACTGGAAAAATACCAAACAAAACAATGACAAGGAATCTCCTTAAAGGAAATTTCTCAGGTGGGGGGGCACCTTGTGACTACAAACAATGCTCACATGAAAGCACAAATAGATATTAACTACTACTAATTAATTGACAGTAGCAAACTACTACCTGAAACCTACTAAAAAGCCACTTGCAAAGAAATACATTTCATTAACAATGACTAATATCATATATAATCAAACCAGTTGGGACCATTTAAACTGCAACCCACCAAATGTCCTGAAAAAGCTCTTCATGACCATCCCATGTCTGGAAAAGAACACCAATCCTCCTTGCCAAGAATAATCGAACTCGATAGTCCATATCTTTAAGCATAAAAAATAACCGTTCTATCATAGTCTGTCAAAACAGAAGCAATGGATTGACAACCATTAAAGTAGAAAGAAATGAAGTTAATTCCAAAAGTTATCAGCAAACTAAATGAGAGAAATACAGAGGTTGAATGAAGCAGCCTATCTCAAAATTCCCATCCCCAACGTGTAATTAACCAGCCTTGGGTTATCTTAGGTCATGAATTCTTAGCATGGCATAGCCCATAATTTCCACCCCATACCACTTCCATGTCATTATCTTTATTTGTTCTATCTTGGCATTAAGATTATCCATGACCGATAGGCCCATTGAAATTTATTCTTCACAAGAAAAATCTAAAAATCACCTGACCAATTTGTGGATGGAGTAAAACAAGATTGCAAATGGAATCAATAAGTTTCACCCGTCCAAACCAATCAAGATCAACCTCTGAAAGTTTATGCATCACATTTCCTAGTAATAGAAAGCACTGCATGCACAAATCAATTGCTACAATCAGTTTGCATGACAAATTCCAAATTTTTTTCATTACATTTCTAACCAAAAACCCTGTTTATTAAGACAATAAAAAAAAACAGTAGACTTGAGTAACAAATTAGAAGGCTGCATTATGACAATATAAAGACAATATATACAGCAATAGAAAAAGCCATTTTCCACATATTAAAGAGATATGTTACTATGGAAGTCTGAAAATAAAATACACACATTATTAGGCTATAGTGGCCCTACTTCAGATTTAAAATAAATCTAAAATCCAATTTTCCAGTTTCCCATAATTTCCCTATTTCTCTGTCATATTTCACCCTTTAACTGTTGTAGATCCTTAGGTTGATTTTTTTAGCCAATATCAACAGTCAATATTTTCATCCGACCACGGTCGAACAGTCAGCCAAAAAATAACCCCGACCAACTATATTGAATAAATAATCTTGATTGATGTCTACTAAAATATCAATGTCCATCATGAAAAACCTTTGTGAATGTCAATTGAAAAAATCTTGAAGGACTTTGGCTGAACAATAACCTCAATCAGCTTTGACTGCAACCCATCATCGATGGATATTTTTGAATTATTAGTATTTTCTAAAATTAAAATAAAATTTTATATTTGATAATAATTGATATGCTGTATCCAAACAAAATAGTTAAAGTTCAATAAAATTGAATTGCCTTGTCCAAAAAAAAACATTTGTAAATCCAAAAACAATTGATATGAAAGAAATTCAAATTGAATGTAGTTTAAATTCCAAGAAATTGTGAAATTCCCTATCCAAACATTTTGTACAACTCATCAAAATTCACCATCCTACCATGAATGTAGAGCTCCTCTTCTCAAGGAAGAGTTGAAGTACATGAATGATTAAATGAAAAATCATGATGTCACACGAGAAAATTTTCGCTGCGCAATTATGTTTCGTGGTTGGGGGATAAAAAGAGTAGAACATAGATTAACTTTTAGTTGATTGTCCAAAAGATTCAATGCTTCCTATTATACAAAAACCGAAGAACTGTTGGAGTTCCTAGATAATTTTGTCAAAGAGGTTGGAGAAAACAAGGTTTTCCAACCATAATTGACGGCGGACGCAACTTTGTTTTGACCTGTAAGAATCTAAATAATACTAAATCATTAATAAATTTAATTTGTTTAATGTTTTCAGTCATTTTATTTTGTGAAATTTGATTTTAGGTAAGTTGTTGCTAGCAAAAGACCACATTTGTTTTGAACCCCATGTGCTGCCGACTGTCATCATTTAATGTTAGAAGGCATTACCAACAAAGAAGAACACTATTCAAAGGGGAACTAGTCTTGACGGCTACATTTATAACATCTCTTTGGTATTAAATATCATGAGAAGGTACACCAACAAAACAGAATAGGATAGGTATGGAGTCACAAGATTTGCCACAATCTTCCTCACATTTCAAAGTTTGCATAGTAAAAAGTCATAGTAGAACTATGTTTACTTATGATGATTAGTTTAAGTCAAAGGCAAGAAAGAAAAATAAAGTGAAAAACGCGCTCATGCCAATGTTTTGGGTTGATGTGATTTACACCCTGGAGTCTATGATGTTAGGAAATTCAAGTGTGATTCTAAGTTCCACATTGGGTAAGAATGAGAAAGTTGAGCAACATATAAGAAAGTATGACCCATAATCCAATGTCTTAAGGTTTTGGGTTGAGAGTGGAGTCAATCCCTTATGTGGGTTAGGCTCATGTCTCATTGATGTTGTTCTCCCCAGTAAATCCCCCTAGAAAGACCCAAAATGTGGGACCAATGGTACAATACAAGTTCTTTGGCTAGTAGATATTAACAAAAAACCAACAATGCGAGAACAACTAGTCAAAATGGTTACAAAGAAATGAAAGATAAGTACAAGGAAATGGTTGAAATAATTGATAGAAGTTAGGAGTGCCAACTCCATCACCCATTGCATACAGTAGGTAATTATCTCAATCCTCAATACTTTTATGGCAATCTTTTTTTACATAATTCAATTAGTGTTGTATGTTAGGTAGATAGTGGGGCTGTTCACTAACTTCTTATAATTGTCCTATAAATAGTAATGATGTATTGTGATATATGTGTATGAAATATAAAATTTCAGATTCAGTACCCATCACTTGAAAATTTAGTGTGTGTTCTAACAAATCCAAGTCTTGAAAATGATCCAAAAGTCATGGAATTTCAGAGGCTGTCTCCAAATCAAGTTGATGAATATAAGGCAAATAGTGACCTGTCAATTAATAGAAGAGGTTTGGTAGCAATAAAATAAAATATCATTTTATAATTTGAAATAAATGACAATTACAATGAGGTGTTGTATTGGTAGTTGAATGGTGGACGAATTTTGGAGCACAAACTCCATAATAAAAGAAGATTGTCAGAAAAGTGTTGAACATTTTTTAGCAAGTAACTATTTTCTTCAAATTACTTCATTTTAAAAATGTTTCATGTAAAAGTTTGACACTAATGACTTTTGTTTTTATATATAAATCATTTTATAATTTGAAATAAACAGTTTGTAAGCTTGACACTAATGGCAATGATAATGAGCTGTTGTGTTTGCAGCGGAATGGTAGAAGAATTTAGGATTCAATCTCCCAAATTAGAGAACATTTCTGTTAAAGGGTTAAGCTTGACTTGATGTTCTTCAGGATGTGAGAGGAACTGGAGGATCTTTGAACATGTAAGTAATTTTTTCAAATTACTGTTTAAAAAGTTTCATATAAAATTTGAAACTATTTTGTTTATATATATAAAATAGGTTCATAATAAAAAAAGAAGAAAGCTTGAGCACCAAAGGTTGCAAGATCAGGTTTATAAAAAATATAACTAGTCACTTAAGGATTTGATTGTGAAGATGTGACGAACTCCATTGTGTCGAATTAGGTTGATGACAGTAACAAATGGTTGTTAGAAGAAATAGCCAATGAAGATGAAGAAGTAGTCCAAGAAGAAGAATTAGTCTTTGATGATTTAACCTGGGAGGCTGTGACAATTGCATCAGCAAATAGGTCTATTGGAAAAAGAAATCAACCACTGGTGAAAGAAGAGGAAGAAGAAGAGGAACAAATCCATCACAGTGAAAGTTATGCAGATGTGGATGCAATGCTTGACATTGCAGGTAAAGATGTTGGCAATTTTTAGATGTTTTTAGAATATAGATTAGTTTTTTGCTTTGGTTTTATAGGCCTAAACCTTTTTTGTTTGATTGCCTATTTTTCAGTTATGGACATGATTATTGGTTGTTTGTTGCAGCTTTCTGTTTTAGTTTTGGACCTCTTGGTTATTAAATTTAATCAAAGTATGATTAAAATTAGGTGTTTTACTTTGCATAGTGTTGAGATTTGTTGTTTATGTATCTTTTTGTACGTTCCTTAGACTAGGGCTAAGGGTTTGAGCTAAGGCCCATATCCTCTCTATTGTATCTCATTTTCTATAAATACAATGTATCAGTATCTTTTGATCATTGTATCAAACCCTAAATAAGTTTTCTCAAGTCAGAGTATCAACATTTATATATGTACACTTACTATCAAAATTACCACTATTCCATATTGTCGAATATATGGAAAATAGGGTTTGAGATTAATCTCTCTCGTATATAAACCACACATAGGTTAATCTAGATATAATAGAGAGAGGTACAACTAAAAAGAGTAATTAAAAAATAATTAGAGTAAATAGAAGATATTGTTTAATATTGTGATTAACAATATCTAACATTCCCCCTCAAAACTAGAGCATACAAATCGTACGTGTCAAGTTTGTTACAAATATAATCAATTTTAGGCCCCCGTAAAGACTTAGTAAAAATATCTGCTAACTGATCACTTGAGTTAACAAAGTCAGTCTTGATGTTTCCAGATATAATCTTTTCCCGAATGAAATGACAGTTAATCTCAATATGTTTGGTCCTCTCATGAAAGACAAGATTAAAGCTAATATAAAGAGCAACCTGATTGTCACACACAAGTGTCATTTGATTGACATCTCCAAATAATAACTTTCTAAGCACTTGCTTGAGCCAAATAAGTTCACGAATAACTGAGGTCATAGTTCTATATTCTACTTCTGCACTGGATCTTGCCACAACACTTTGTTTCTTACTTTTCCACGAAATCATGTTATCACCAATCGAGATACAATACCCAGATGTGGATCTTCAATCAGAAGCAGATCCTGTCCAATCAGCATCTTAGTAACAAACAACTCTTGTATGATTATTAGAACCATATAACAATCCTTTTCTAGGATATCTCTTAATATACTTTAAGATACGAATGACTGCATTCCAATGATCTTCACATGAGGAATTAAGATATTGGCTTACACTGCTACAAAGGAAATATCATGACGAGTAACGGTAAGATAAATAAACGAACAGATATCATCTTTGCCATGGGGGAAAAGGTATCTCCATAATCTACCCCAAAAATTTGAATATAACCTTTGACTACAAGACGAGCTTTGAGGCGATCAATAATACCATTAGGTCCAACTTTATTAGCAAACACCCACCTGCAACCAACAACAAATCTCCCAGACCATAACGGAACAAATTCCCAAGTTCCACCGTTATCAAGAGCACTTAGTTAATTTGTTATGGCCTGACGCCAACCAAGATGGGATAAAGTTTCAAGGACAGTTTTTGAAATGGTCACAAAAGAAATAGATGAAAGACATGTATAAAAAAGTAATGACAGTCGATGATAACTCAAAATAATATAATGAAGAAAGGGATTACGTGTAGAACGGAGACTTTTTCGGAGGGCAATGGGAAGGTCATAGTCAGGTGTCAGATCTGGAGGAGACAGAGTAGTTGGCACTTGAGTAGCGTCACATGGTGGTGGTTGTGATCGGTTTCGGCGACTATAAACCTGAACAGGGGATGGAGAAGAAGCTGACTGTGAAGTAGGAACTAATGGTGAAGAAGACACAGTTAGAGGGTCACAAACAACAGAAACATCAATTGTACTAGGAGTGTTGATAGGATTTGATGAAAACAGAGGTAAAGATTGCCTTTTAAACCAAAGGGAGAACTTATCAAAGGTGACATCTACAGACACAAAATAACGGTTAAGAGAGAGAGAAAAACATTTGTATCCTTTTTGTGATGTTGTAAAGCCTAAGAAAACACATTTATGTGATCTAGAGGAAAGTTTGTCAAGAACAAGACTTAAATTATGAACAAAACATGTAGACCCAAAAACTCTTAGGTAATGGATGAAGAGGTTCATGAGGAAATAAAGTGGAATGAGGTATTTTATTATCTAAAACCAAAGAAGGCATGCGATTAACGAGATAACATGCAGTAAAAAGAGCATCACCCTAAAAATGTTGAAGAACCTCTCCATGAATTAAAAGAGTACTAGTTGTTACAATAAGATGTCTATTTTTACGTTCAGCTACACCATTTTGTTGAGGTGTATAAGCACAAGAAGTTTGATGTAGAATACCGTGAGAAGTCGTGAATTGTTTACAAGAATGAAAAAGATATTCACGACCATTATCACTGCGCAAAACTCTAATAGAAACACCGAACTGAGTTTCAATTTGATTAAAAAAAATTTGAAAGATATGAAATAATTCAGAATGATTTTTCATAAAAAATAATCAAGTGCATCTGGAATAATCATCAATGAAAGTAATAAAGTATTGAAACTTAGAGTAGACTTAACACGGTTAAGTCCCCAATAGTCCAGAGTGAACCAAGGCAAAAGGGGACGAAGCGCCACGTGACACTACGAGAAAAGGAAATACAACTATGTTTGCCTAATTGACACGACTCACACAACAAACTAGACAACTTGGACAAGATAGGGACAAGCTGTTGTAACTTGGCAAGGCTTGGATGACCTAACTGAGCATGAAAAGAGAGGGAGACTCCATAACTGCACCAACATGTGTAGAGGGACGAAGATAATAAAGACCATGAGACTCAAATCTTGTGTCAATCACCTGTTTTGAACTTCGATCCTGTAAACACACATAATTGTTGGTAAAAGAAACAACACAATCAAGATAATGAGTTAGACGACTGATGGACAACAGGTGAAGAGGAGACTCAGGGACATAAAGAACATTATCAATGGTTAAAGAAGGAAAAAGTTTGACAGTTCCAAAACCATGAAATGATACTCTAGAGCCATCAACCAATGTAACAGAAAATAAAGGATTAAGAGAGGATAAAGAGGAGAACAAAGATTTGTTACCAGTAATATGATCAGTGGCTCCTGAATCAAAAACTCAAGGACCAGGAGAAGAAGATTGGGTCAAACGAGCAAAAGATGTACATATGTGTGTGACAGACGCAGTATAACTAGAAGATTGTTGATCCTTAAATCATTTGAGAAATTTGTTGAACATAACAGGTGTGTCGGATGAAACATAAGGAGGATCCCCAGCAGACAAAGGTGGGGAAAGATCGGTCTGAACAACTGCAGCAGATCGAGGGGGAAGACCATGTAATGCATAACACTTGTCAATCTTGTGACCTAACTTGTCACAATGTTCACACTCATGTAATGCATAACACTGGTCAAGATTGTAACCTAGTTTGCCACAATGTTCACATTTTGGACGCCATTTTCCGTGTTTGCGAGGGTGAGTCTGGTCATCACAGTGAGATGCCAACCAGAAGAATCATTAACAGAAGCAGGTGTATCAGGGTTGGGTTTTGCTGTACACACAAAAGAGTAGAGCAGGTCAAAGTCAAGGTGGAGACAACCTGAGAACCCAAAATCTGATCACGGATATGTGAATATTGATCAGCAAGTCCGTGTAATGCCCCTAGCATGAAGAACTTTGATCGGTGTGCTATTTCGGTGGCAGGGTCGAGGGAAGGAGGCAATAACTCATTGAATTCATGAAAAAGAGCATGAACTTTGCCCATATAATCAGTCATAAAGTCTTGATGTTTAGAGGCAATAAGATCTGCAAATTTAAAACAAACACCATAGAGACGTTGGGTATCATTGGTGTATAATAACTTAGCATGTTCCCAAATTTTAGCACACGTTTTGTAGGAACAAAAAATCTGCTTTAACGAAGGATTCAGAGCTCCTTTGAGAACCACACATAATTGAGCATCAATGGTGTCCCAACGATCTTCCTCAGCAAGAGTGAAAGTAGGTGCTTTCGAGGCAGAATGATCAAGATACCTGACTCTTAAGCCATAATCTGACGTCTATAACCATGTGGCATAATTAGGGGCAGTTAATTTGTAAATGGATAAGTGCACATTAACATAGTTAGTGTAGACAGAAGGGTCAGACGCAATACTGACAGAATTTGAAGTAGTAGAAGAAGCGGAAGAAGTCATGAAGGGAGATAGAACAAACCCTAAAAAATTCCAAAGTAGTCCAATCAACCCACGAAACACAGATCTAAAACAAGAAGACGAAAACACGTCTGTCGAGACTAAACGGCGCTAGAGACAATGGACGACCAACTCCGATAGTGGTGATCTCAATAGTACAGTGGTCGTCTGACCAAAACGAGCAAAATCGTATGTCGCTGGTCAAAAATGAAACTCCGACGACGGCTCCAGCAAAAGCTCCGACAATGGCTCTGGCAGCGGCGACGGCTCCGGTAGTGGTGACAGCTCCTACAGTGGCAGCAACTCCGGTGGCAGTGGACAAAGGCAAAAAAATTTCAAAATAACCTTAAACTCTAGATACCATGTTGAATATAGAAAAAATAAAGTTTGAAATTAATCTCCCTTGTGTATAAACTACACATAGGGAAATCTATTTATAATAGAGAGAGGTTACAATTAAAAAGAGTAACTAAAAAATAATTAGAGTAAATAAAAGATATTGTTTGATATTGTGATTAACAATATCTTAACAATATCAAATAATATCTAATAACACATATATTATAGCAATTTTGGTAGGTGTCGTTCCACTAGCTGCTATTAACTACAATACTATGATTTTTTTTTTGTGGCACATAAAATCTAATTCCAAAAATTATATTTTTTCAAATGATGTTTATTTTGTCTGACTGATCAAAGAAAATGAATAGACTTGTGGTGCCAAAAGAAGCCAATGTAGACTAAAAGTCCAAAAGCATTTAAGATTAACTAGTACCTGTTTTGTTTCCACTTCCGATAAATACAGGCCACATTTTTCCTTACCAACAGCATCCAAGGAAGATAAGTTAATTAGTAGAATATGAGCAGAAATCAATACAGAATCACAGGAATGCTTAACTCCAACTTGCTCAATAATGATATCATTCATTACATTGACCTACAGAGCACAAGTAAACTAGGGTGATGTTTTTGAATTTGAAATATTTTAATGGAATTTATACTGGGTCATTTTCGTACCAAATCAATAAATTTTCCAGAGGAAGACCAGAGAGGATGCTGACAGAGATGATACAATATTTTTCCACGCACCTGAATTTTGAAAAGAATCAAAATAAATAAAATAAACTATTAGATTCGAAAGAAAATATTAATATTGTACCAAAAATATCATGAAAACTATGGGATTATTACTGTGTGAAAAGTCTACCTTTGGATCATTTTCTTTCTCCATTAACTTAAAGAGGATATCCCAGGTAAGGTGAGATGCAGAGAAAAAACTGGAAATAAGCGATATCATGCCCATTTTCCATTTCTCTGCAGAAGAAGAAACATCATTGCCTACTTTTTTTCCAACTGCTAAACTATCAATCTCTCTAGAATCATCATTTACATCCAATTCCATGTCCATAATCCTGCTTTTACTGCTGTCATTTGGAAAAGAACTTTGAATACTATCAGTAGCAGGTATCTCTTGTGTAATTGTATCAGACTGAAGATTCATCATATGCTGAGAATAACTTTCATATAGATTAACAAAAGCTTTCAATAGTCTCTCCATAGATGGAATTAACTCACCAAATGGGGCAAAGCCCATCAAATTGTGATCCCTCAATTCCATACATAACGGGGATGAAAGAAAACAATGCACGGAAGAAACAAGAGGATTCACATCATCATAAATAGGATCACAACCTAAGCAACTAAAAGCCTGGAGGTCACTGTCATCTTGAATAATTCTTACAACATTGTCAAGCATCAGTTGCAAGTATTGGCTTAATTTCGAACAAAATGAAACATTAATTTTCCTGAAACAACACAACCATGTATAAAATTCAAAAACATAGGAGTAGGGAAAATAATTATGAAAATCAAGTGAAAGCAGTGTCATGATTAAAAACTATTATTTTAGGTTCATTACAATAGCATTGAATTATATGAAATAATCCAGTTGGTATAAATAAAAGACAAGGAAAAAACACCTGTTAACCATAAGACAAGCAAGGAAAAAGTTATCATGTTAAACCCTCCTACTTTTCAGGTCCTAGAAAATGTAAATGCAGCAAAGCAAAATTTTTTTTGCCAAAAAATTAAACCTCCTATCTTTCATTATTCTTTAAAAAACAATTGTTGACTTAAATGAGTGACTTCTTCATCAACCCTAAACCCTAGTTTCTATCAATATCATTTGATCATAGAGGCTCTGAAACCATGTCATGAACAATCCCAAAAGCTTGGTTTACTATATGAAGGGACATGAGTGGATGTACATAACATTCTTACGGGATGGGCCAGAATTATTTCTATGGATCTTGGCCTCTAGTTATTTTGTCTCACTGTAAAAGAACTTTGACTGTCTTTTAAATACAATAAAAATCTTTTTAAACCAGAATTCTATCTTTTATTATCTTTTCTCTCATTTTCAGGAAAGGAAATATGTACTTCTATGACCACTAAAAGATATTAGTGAAGCCAGAAGTATGGGATCATTCTTACGTGTCAAAGTGAGTCAATCCAGCTCATACAAGTTGGTTCACCACGGGCTAAGCTGAAAATAGACAAGCTCAACCCGGCTCACTTTATGGCGAGCTAGAAATTTCACAACCCGACCCAACCCACTATAGGTTGGTGGATTGACTCACTAACCCACATTTATTTTTTTGATATTCAATTATTTTTTTCTAATAAGCACAATTGAATCGCGGGGCTGGAACGCAATGACGTGGTAACACGGCAAACATTGTGTGACGCGACTAAAACGCGACAAACGTTATGGTTCAACTAAAGTACAGTGGCATGGTGACACGACGAATGCAATGGTGCGACGAACACAGTGGTGCAACAAATGTGACACGACTTTAACATTGTGGTACGGTGCACGACAAACGCTGTGACGTGACTAAAACGTGGTAGTACGACAAATGTAACGAACATCGTAGAGTAGTGGTGTGGCAAAAGGATGGCAAACAGCCCAAGTGCAATGGCGAATGTAGTGATGTGGCAAACAATTGATGATAAGCTTGAGTGAGGGTTTAGCTTGTAGCGATGGTGTAAAGTAGAGGTGGAGAGGCAGAATAACATCAATTAGGGTTACTAAATTATTATAATTATTTTTAAAATTTAAAATGAACAATGGGTTGCAAGTCAACCCACCATAACCCAGCTCGAACCCATGATGAGCCGGGTTGGCTCACGAGTTACAACCCATATTGACACCCCTACTACTAGCTAAAAGTACTTCTAATACCTAAATTATAATAATAAACTAAAAGAAGACTCCCAATTACATTACATTCAAGTAATCCAAAGCAGCAAAACATAATCTTCGCTCAGATTGTTAACTCACATTCATACCAATCACCAACTTCAATAACCAATACAATAATTAACTCCATAACTTATGCAAGCTCAGGTTTTACCTACTTTTTAATTACATGGCATGGCACAGAGCAACAACAGTAACAGGACAATTATAAGAAAGTGATTAACAATTCTACATGATTAACTTAGGGATCATATACAGCATTACTTTGGTAGCAAAGCCATAAAAAATAGATAAAACATAACCAAATGTAGCAAACCTTGTGAAATAATAACCATAAAGTAGGTTAGACAATAGAGAACATAGTAATAGGGTATCAAGCAAACGCCACTTGTTAATCTCCTCTACCACCAAAGCTCCAAGAATAGAAGCCTCCATTTCACACAATAGCTGATCACTTATTTCCCGGGAAACCCGAACATGTGGAGATATTTTCACTTGAGAAGCCTGAAAATTTTAATTTCCTTAACCAGAATCATGAAAGTTAACACAAGCATTTTTAAGTGAGGGCACCAGACCTCAACTTCGGAAATCTTCTCAATTTCTGTAAGAACTTCCACAGAGCAATCCAAAAATGCAAGTAAACATTGGTGTTTAGGGTCTTCAAACTAAAGTTAACATCATGACTAAGATTTTTAGTGACAGTTTAACGAAAAATATTCATGAATAAAAAATTAATACAGACAAGAGTTACTAGGTTGTACCTTATGAGAGTCCTCTTGAGCATCAGTGACATCAAAATAGTTGTGAACCATAGGAAGTTCTTTAAAGCATTGAGTAAAAGGAACATAACCTACACAAAGAGCATACGCAGCACTGGGAATGAGCAAAGCCATTTGCTCATTCCACATAGAATAACCCTGCACAATAAGGAACAAATAAATGAAACTAAAGCAAAGTTACATTATGCGTTCCACACATGTACGGGTTTTGGCCATTAGAATTGTTAACACCATGTTTTTCTTAATAAACAAAGTAAAGGATTAAAATATTTTCCCCATAACAATTTCCCTAAACAAACCTTCCACTTAAGATGAGATAATGTTGCTCTTAAAAGGTTTTTCCTCAGATGTAAAATATCTCGAAGGTCAGCCTGCACATTATGAAACAGTAAATTAAATACAAAAGTGGTCAGCACAGAAATATTTTTTAACTCTAACCTAATAAAGGACAGAAGTTTACCCATATACACACATAAGCAAAACATGGTCTTTATTATGTAACAAGAAACAGAAAGTATCACCAAGAGATATAATAGTAAATACAGAAATTAACAATATGAAAAAAGCTTAAAGCTTGCTCTGTTCTCCCCCAAGCTAATTTTCCTTACCCTGCCGACTTGTTCTTCCCCTCTTTTAGACATGCCTACATCATGGGCCTATCACGACTCTTCCATTGATCAGTTCAAAAAGTTGGTAAAGGGTTAGAAGAAGTTTGATCTACACCAAACTATGGTTGATAAATTTGATGCCAGTCTTTTGTTTTTAGATCCCATTACCTTGATAAGCAGACAAACACCTATTACTTTCATGTTATACTCGCTAGACTCCAGAGTAATTATGAGAACCAATAAATGTTAGAAAATCTATCGAAGGAGCCAGTACCAAGGCACAAAAGTTGTACACCACAATAACACTCCATATATTAAGTGGAACAGATAGAAACACACAAAATCAGAAAATTACATGAAAGAATTAACAAAAATGATATTTTATCAAAAAAAAAAAAAAAGGTAATAAATTGACAACTAAATAACTCCAAAATATGATAAAATGTAATTTAACTGACAGGGTGGCGGAAAGTATCCAATATTTATGTGTGTATATTGAGATAATATTTTTTGAAAATAAATAAGATTTACCTTGTTATATTTTTCTAATTTCCTGCCTTTCTAATGTTAGAGATTGTAAATCATGTGCATATGATTAATCATGCCAAGGGTTTCATGAAGCATTTTAGAAATCCTTTGATCTATTTCAACTTGATAGCTTGCAAGTTCTAGGCCCTAAGCCACAAAAGAAAACAAGATATACCATAAATAACTGAGCCTGGATCTCGTGTCCAAACATCTTCACCTATAGAAGGTGTAACTGGTTACACATCAAGGCACATCAAACCCGCTCAACTGCCTCTGTTGTAGCATCTAGTTGTAATGCTGCTGGTGCCATCTGCTCATTGTCTTATTCTGGGGTCCAAAACCAGATAGTATCACTTCCTTGGGTATTGTTCACCTACTGTCTTAATTTTTTTGTCACACATTATTTGCCACTAGATTTTAATCCAGTCATAGCGATTCGACCCTAAATAGTACATCTGGATTTTATTTGAATACGGGAATCCCCCATCTGGTGTGAAAAAATATCTTATACAATTCTTTCACTTAAGCCTTCTCAAGAATCCCTACAATCACCTCAGAGAAATACAAAGATAAAAATCATTTGACACGGTCAGCCTTGATTGAACTATACTTTCTCAGTTGAGGAACATATTCACACTTTCTTTCCATTCGACGTCAGGTCACGAGTCAAACTTTTTTTATATCATACCTTTCTATATATGGGTCAGAATCAAGTCTCAACCCATTGAGATCTTTAGTACATTGCACCTTATGTATGACTTTTCACACTGTAAAGCATTTTTCATAAGTTATTTTACATATTACAGCATTTTTTATAAATTTAAACTCAGTTTGGCAAGTCAATTAAGGTGTTACATAGTTACAATGCACATTTTTCCATACACTTTCCTCACACAACCTAACAGAACAAAATAACTGACAGAAAAAAAAAAAATCCTGTGGAAACAACTCATATTTATTTGCCACAAGAAAGCATGCCTTTAGGCTGTTTAGCCAATGTCATGTTAATTGCATGTAATTTAATCAATCATATCACAATAGCAGTTGTCAATACTTGAGATCCTTGTCAACTGTTACTTCCCACATGTCCCTTATATCACATTCCATGTCATGTTTTACATGTACTTGTTCTGATCAGGACCTTTCTCAGGTTAAAGGTGTCTTGCTTGGCAGTTCCAGGTAACAAAAGGGATGTCAATGTTATTTATGCTGTTGCGACTCTAATGATATAGCTCTGCTAATGTCAATCCTAATATCTATATAAGTAAAATCCTTCTATTTAATAATCTAACATCAAGTAAATTAATGACAAAGATGTATAATGCTTTCTTAAAAACTTACATGGGAATTTTTTCGTGAAAAGTAACATGACAAGAAATACAAGATGGATCTGCATAAAAGGCAAACGAACTTAATAAGAATGCAGTAACAATATCATGCTGTAAAAAATTTCAAATGCAGAAAAGTAAATAAAAATAGAAAAGGGAATTCAAAAATCTAAAAATAATAAATTAATAATTATAAATTCGTGCGTTCTTTTTTTTATTCTGGCTTCCAAACTTCAATAAAAGCTTCAGAAAAACCACTCATTCCAAATCAGAAACCTACCATCCACTTTAGAATGGCAGCTACTGTTCTCTCATAGGAAGTAAGACTGTTTACATATTAGACTTGTAGTCATTAGCAAATTGCCGCAGAGTGATTTATGATAATAGGATAGAATTAAAATTTATTATAAATATTCTGCTATTAACTTATTACACATGAATGAAATATATGTATTTAAAAAGAATCATCAGTAGTCAATTAAATCATTTTTATGACACTAAACAATAAATTCTCATCATATATTCTAGCTTTCAGTTATTAAATGAAACAAAAGTTTAAAATATAAAATTAAAATTTATTTGATTTTCGTTTCAAAAATACCTAGATTAATATCTTTATTTACATTTTATTAGAAACAATCAATATATTCTATCTAGGTTGGAATTTTGTATTTTCTCCTCTGTATTTTTTATTAAAAGAAATTAAAAACTCTGATTTTAAGCAAAGGTCCAAAAGATGAAACTTTAGTGTGAAGATCTAAAATATGATGTTGTCATTGAACTTAAATAAAAAAGTTAATAAAGTTAAAAAAAAAAAAAAAAGTTTGGTATCTAGTTACAGTCAGGACCTGCACAACAACAAGCTGTAGAATGAAAGCTTGATGTTATTTTGGCTGCAAAACACCCCAGCCTGATAGCGTGCTATTGCAAGCAACAGACTAGTATGATTAGACTGATCCTATATTATAAAGGACAAAAATATGTCACACCTGAAACCATGTATCAAAGGGCTCACTGATGGGTTTATCCTTTTTTTTTCTATTTAAACATTTGAAGTATCTATGCTGTGATAACCCTCTAAATTAAAAATTCAGCAATTAACTAATTAGAAATATCTATGAGACTAAGAGGTAAAATTCAATTTACTTTCAATCCCACCATTCGAAAGGGAGTGCAGCAGACCAAGAAGGGCATTAGATGAGGTTAAGGGGATTTCATTACAAATAATATCTTTGAAGACTTGGTCTTTAACCAAGTCAAATGGCTTCACGTGATTTATATTACCAACCTCAACCAGTCATATTAGCCTTTCGTTGTTGTACCTTAGCTATTGTTACCAGCCATTATTCTATATAATAGAAAAGTGTGAAGGTGTTCTAAACATCAACATAAAAATTTCATAGCTTGAACTCCAACTAGTTCTTTGATAAATAATGTATGATTGAATTTATTTATTGACTGCTAAAAAAATTATATACTTTCATTTATTCAGTAACAACCTTAAAACCATCTTTTGCATGTTATGTAATCAAGGTAAAAGACACTTACATTGAATTTGGTCGTTTAAAAATCTGAAGATCCCACACATCTTGAGGTATGACACTTGTATTCACAAAATCCTGGATACAAGCATGTGATGTAAGATTTATTATTATTAACAGTACTCTTGACTTGTAAAATAGATAACTCACATTTGAGGTTATATTACTAAGCAACAGCAAAGTAGCATCGACCTGCATCAGTGTGTACTTGTTACATTAAAGTGGAAACTTGGACAAAATAACTGAGAGAAACAATTTCTATTTATCACAAAACTTCTATTGTAAAAATGCTCACCACTATAACAAGATAATTAAGTAAACCAACCTGACTACAACAACATAAGTCTAATTACACTAGGTGTGGTCAGGTACATGGATTTCACAGCACCATTCAACTTGATTAAAGACTGTATATAATTTACCATGAGATCTTTCTTAATAATATAAACCTATGTCCTTCTTGTTCTCCTCGCCCTTTTCACATGCCAAACATACATGCAATTTATTCTTCTTATTAGTGTATTTAATGATCTTCTTTTCCATGTCCAAACCACTTTAACCAATTTTTTGTCATCTTTTCCACAGTTATTTACTTTAGCATCAATATCTCAAAATAGTTACTTCACATTTTGTCCTTTCTTGTTTGGACACATTCATTTTAACAATTAAAATTTTATTATTTCCATGTTTTTCTCTTGTTGCTTCAAAGTCCATCATTCAATACTCTTAGAAAATTGACTTTAAGTCTAACTCAACCTCACAAAATAGGCTTGTAAGGTAAGGTTTGCAATCACTTATATATTATAATTTGGTCATATCTCTAGTCAATTAAAGATCACTAACATACCCCCTCATGTTGAGAATGGAACATCTCAAGCATAAGACTACATATTTGTGGGTAATCCAATAACAACTTGATAGAAGGTGGCACGAAAGACCCAACAAATCTTAAAAAGATAGAACCACAAATCCATAAATAAAAGCTGAATACATCACACTATATATAAATTTAAGAAACTGTTGAATATAGAGAAAATAGAGTTTGAGATTAATCTCCCCTTGTATATAAACCACACATAGAATAATCTATTTAAAGTAGAGAGGGGTACAATTACAAGAGTAACTGAAAGTAACTGTTGAAAGTCCCACATCGCCTACCTCATGTCATTTGGTATGGTTTAAATACATGTTAGGCTACTCCATATATTGTCAATTGGTTTTATGTTGGAACTTTAACATGGTATCAGAACCAAAGCCTAACATCTTTCCGGTTATTGTCATGGGCCAAAAGTTGCCCTTTAGTTGGGTCAAAAGTACCTTTGCCTGGTCCGGTAGGCTTCGTTGGACGGGGTGTGTTGAAAGTCACACATCGCCTACCTCATGTCATTTGGTATGGTTTAAATACATGTTAGGCTACTTCATATATTGCCAATTGGTTTTATGTTGGAACCTTAACAGTAACAGAATAAACAGAAGATATTGTTTGATATAGTGGTTAACAATATCTAAAAATATCTTAACAATATCAAACAATATTTAAACAATATCTAAACAATATATAACACTCCCCCTCAAGCTGGAGCATACAAATCATATGTGCTAACACTCCCCCTCAAGCTGGAAAATACAAATCATATGTGCTAAGCTTGTTACAAATATAATCAATTCTAGGCCCCCGTAAAGACTTATTTAAAATATCTGCTAACTGATCACTTGAGTTAACAAACTCAATCTTGATGTCTCCAAACATAATCTTTTCTCGAATGAAATGACAGTCAATCTCAATATGTTTGGTCCTCTCATGAAAGACAGGATTAGAGCTAATATGAAGAGTAGTCTGATTGTCACACACAAGTGTCATTTGAGTGACATCTCCAAATTATAACTCTCTAAGCAATTTCTTGAACCAAACAAGTTCACAGGCAGTTGAGGTCATAGCTCTATATTCTGCTTCTACACTGGATCTTGCCACAACACTCTTTCTTACTTTTCCATGAGATCAAGTTACCACCAATGGAAACACAATATCCAGATGTAGATCTTCTATCCGAAGGAGATCCTGCCCAATTAGCATCTGAGTAGCAAACAACTCTTGTATGGTTATTAGAACCATATAACAATCCTTTTCCAGGAGATCCTTTAATATACTTCAAGATACGAAAGACGGTATTCCAATGATCTTCACATGGGGAATTAAGAAATTGGCTTACCACACTGACTGCAAAAGAAATATCAGGACGAGTAACTGTAAGATAATTCAATTTTCTAACCAATCTTCTATATTGCTGAGGATCAGGTGTAGGCTCCCCCAGATTTGGTAGAAGTTTATTATTGGAATCCATGGGTGTATCAACAGACTTTGAACTCATCAACCCAGTTTCCTCCAAAATATTCATGGCATACTTCCTTACCAAATAATATCCAGTAACAAAAATAACTCT